CCTCAAGGATCCATTTTGGGGCCTATACTTTTTATATTGTATTGTTCAGATATAGTGAACACCATAAAAAATTGTAGTTATCATATATATGCTGACGACCTTCAATTGTATATGTCTTTTAAACCTAGTGACACCAATATAGCAATAAAAAAAATCAACTCAGATTTGGACCGCATAGCCGATTGGTGTGATCAAAATAATCTCGTATTGAACCCCATTAAATCGAAGTATATGTTACTGGGAACGCATAACCAGACAAATAATATTCTAACTTTCAATCCGCAAATTAACATCAAGACTACTCCTTTAGAACGTGTGTTGGAAGCTCGGAACTTAGGTCTCGTTATGGACGGAAGGTTGCGTTTTGAGGGTCATGTGCAAGAAACCATGCGAAACTGTTTCTATAGACTCAAAGTCTTGTACCAGATCAGAGAGTATTTGACGGTGGACATGCGCATTAGGTTGTGTGAATCACTCATTCTGTCGAAGCTAACTTATGCGGATACAGTATTTGGAGAATGCTTGCTCGCAAGAACGAAAAAATCAATACAAAGGGTTCAAAACGCCTGCGCACGTTTCTGCTTCACAGTCCCTAAGAGATCACACATCACCCCATTTTTAAATCGACACGACCTGATGAGTATGGCTGCTCGACGTACTCTCCACCTTGCATCATTGCTTTTTGGAGTTATAAATACCAGGGAACCATCATACTTATACCAAAAACTTATTTTCTCGCAGCGTGCGATTAGGACAGCATCACGACTCACATACCCTAAGCATCACACAGCTGCCTTCCGTGGTAGTTTCCGTTTTGCTGCCACGAAGTGCTGGAATGATATACCACCACCGATCAGAAATAGTAAAACAGTTGACACTTTTAAAACTTTATTAAAAAAGTTTCTGATTTCCGTACAAAAATCCAGCAAATAGGCATAAATGGTATGATTCAATCTCAATGCCAGTACCGTACATGCACATACGAACGCACTCACATACTCAAACACGCATGCACACATACACATACACAATTTATTTTATTTTTTCTGTATGCATACCACCGTTCGTCCATCTTTACACTATCAAAGTTGCACGGACACGTGGAATTTTGGCAGTTTTTTTCTGATTTTATTTTATATTTATGTTTAGTTCATTTTTTCTCTTGCTGTTACTTGTCATCTGCCTCACACTCCTGGCTTCACTGAAAATCAGCGTTACGAATTGATGTATTTATATCTTCAATTCGTGACTTAAAGCTGAGTGGAGACCATTTTGGTGCATATTTTGTTATTACTTTTTAAATATTTTTGATAAGATATTAAAAAAATGTTTTATTTTTATTCTTTTTGTTATAATGCATGTACCAAATAAACTTTTCTTTCTTTCTTTCTTTCTTTCTTCATTTGGAGTGTTGATGGACCGCAGTAGACACTGACCATAACTTGATATAAAGTAACTTCAAGATAGGTATCCACTGCAAGAGGTTTAATGCCCTCTTTTAATTATATAAAAGTTTATCACATTATTTCAATTGCGTGTTATAGTGCGTATAAACACCTCTAAAGTAAATTGTAAAACTAAGTAATAACCTACACAAGTTCGCAAACATCTTATTTTCGAGTCTCGTTACGGCTATATCTACGCTATCGGTTGACTTCACGGTATCTCGAATTAATTATTTTCAAGGTGTTAATTTAACGTTAGGTTTACGCTGGTATTAAGTATGAGCGTGGTTTTTCCTAGTTACAGCTGACCCTTACGTGCTGCAGCTATAACACCCGTACGTTGAGATGTGGCTCTACCACGTATTCATTTTTTTTTATAGCATATGGGTAACAAACGAGCACACAGTCCACCTGATGGTAAGTGGTTGCTGTGGCCGATAAACATCCACATTTATCTTCAATTAAGAATCGAAATGCCAATGCTTTGTCACCCCTAAGGACTAAGTTGGAATGCCTCGAGTCCAGTAAAAAGGGTCTCCGGTTCTCTACACTGACCATACGAAGCACAGCAGCGTTAAGCTGCTATTTTACGTTGGTATTCGGTGAGAGCGTGGTCCTTCCCCAGTCGAACCGACCCATTCGTGCTACAACTGTAATATAGCTGCGGCGGCTAGTGAAATTTGACAATATCTATGGTGCCGGCGGGTATTGAACTGTTTCTTTGCGTTCTTTTTAAGGAGTGTGCTCCACACTAATATTCTAAAAAAAATCTAATTTAAAAAAATATAAAAAATAGTGTTACGTACCTATTATAAGTTTTTATTACGTAAATACGGAAAAAAATCTTTTTTTTACTTGTGAATTAACTGTGCAATCCATTCTCATCTTATATATTGAACATCAATGAAGAAATATACGAACCGTGTAACTCCACGCCTGCCTCTAAAAGCTTCGAAGTTCAAAAACTATAAATTTTGCTTTGGAATCGAAAAGTTTAAATTTTATTACCGCCGTATGGAGAAAAAAGTGTACTTGCTGCTTTAATTTTGCTAAATATTAATATAACGTGGTATAGTGTATTATGGTTGCGGTATGAATTGGTCGGCTTGCTATCAAGCCGACCAATTCCTCCCCAATGGGAGGACCTGCACTAGACCAAAATTTCACTTATGCTAGTGATCATGAAAATCGAGGACCTTTCTTTTTGGTTACGAATTAACTGTCCATTTTATCTCTTACTTATAGATGTAACTATACGCCTAAATTAGCATTGTAATTGAGAATGAATGTAGTAATATATTGGTCAATGCATCCAATTGCCATCAGGTGAACTGTTTGCTTGTTTATCGCTCTTACTGTTCTTTTATATATAACAAATAAATTAGTATTTTTTTACAACTTATCTGATGCTACATTCGCCACTTAGATTCTACATTTATTATTTTTATCAGATTCGCCAAATCCACTGCTGGATTCATGTCTTTACAAAATTCCACCATCTGACAAATAAAAAAGATTTGCTCACGCTGTGCAGACTGGTAAGCTTCGAGTGGAAAGCTGATACGATCACATTAATAAGCTCACACAATTACCGATCTGAGGTGTTAAGGTTCGGTGTTTTCGAATAAATATAGATTTTCTATGAAAGAAGAACCATCGATGAAAGTGGACGGGTATAAGAGTAGAGGAAGACTGGATGTGGGATGTTATGAGTAAGAAAGGAGTGAGTGAGGAGATGACGGAGATTGAAAGAGGAAAACACGCTATGTCTAGCTCAAATAACTTCTAATAATGGCAGGAAGAAGTTTTCGAACAAATATAGCCATTTTTGCTGTGATTGAAGTGATTCTTTCTCCACGTGGTTGTCATAAGAGGTAACTTTGGGAAATTCCAGAATGGTCTGCCTCGAACGATTCCGTGATACCGTTTCGTAGCCAGTTGCAAAATATCCAGGCTCACGATGGATAGCAGCATCGGAGGTGCGAACTTGGTTCATATGCCTGCCATATGCCTGGTAAATACGCCTGCTATGTGGCGATTATGCCAAATTATTCTAAGAATGGAGAAACTGAAGTTCAGTTTCCAGTAATATTATTACGGGCCGATATAAAAGAAATATTAAAAGAATATAAAATATAAATATAAAAAGAGTAGAGAAAGAATATAAATATAAAAAGAAAAAAGATTAAAAGAATAATGGCATTTGTTGGTTACGATAGCCTTGTTCGTCAACAGTTAGCAGCACCCCGTGCTGGAGAGGTTGTCATTTGAGATGAAGTTGGCAAATTACGCCCATCCCATAACCTTTTAAACGTCAATTGTAAAGAGAGACGTGACCCAAGGAGCAGCTTTATGTGCTGTTACTTTTACTTGTATAGGGAAATGGACCCGACACCTGCATTGCCCTGGGGGCCTCTACATATTTTAATACGATTCTGAAGCAGCTTTATATGTTATGTGGGATGCAGTGTCAAAGGTGCAACTAGTAAATCATTAATTCATCTGCCATTACTTATTCCGTGGCAATTGTAGCAAAGCCTTATCCCATAAGGTTCGTGTAGAGCAGCGGTAGGGAGAGAGAAGGTACATAGGATGAATAAAAATTGCTTGTATAGTTAAACAATTTGAATAAATTACAATGATGTCTGTCTGAAAAAATATGAAGTAAAGTAACAGCTTTACATACGTCTCACTGCTTGTCAAACGCCTCTAATTTCTATGAGGGATTTCTGAGCAGGGAAGAGTCCGTTGCGCCAATCCGTGTTGGCGGACTACACATTTTCGAAATATTATTTTTTATTCTGAAACATAGGTTTCCTCACGATTCATCGGTTTAGTGACTATATAATATATTATCACAGTTATTTTTTGAAAATTGTTTTTAAGTACACATATAAAAAACGAAACTTTCCGACAGCTTTCGTAACAATAAAAAAAACGTCAAAAATAATAAGGCCGCCCAAGAAGTATCAATTGACCAATGTAAAATATTTTTCTTAGTTCAGTCTTGGTCACATCTGTGCACCGTTTAAATTAAAAGTAATTTTCTTATGCAGAATTAATTAATGACTAACGAGCTCAATAGGGTTCATCAAGCGGAAGCGAGAAACAAAGATAACAACATTCACAAAAGCACTTGAAAGAAAAAGATGGATGCTGTGCTTGTGCTTGTGAAGTTGAATGAATTGATGCCGGTCCCGGTCTATTTAGTTACGCGTCAATTTGGCGCGAGAAAGGTTGTGTATTAGGTTCTTTTTAGTGCCGTAAAAAGCGCGCGAGTGCGACGTACGTATTACAAGAATAAAGTTAAAATTATTTTATTAAAAATATTGCTTTTTACGTTTTACAAAATAATTACGAATATTTAAAAAAAATAGGACATTGGTTTACATATTAATTAAAACAGAGTTTACTTTTTAAATAATGAAGTGGTCGAAGTTAATCTAGTGGTGTGCCTATCAGTTATCGTTACTAAGAAGTGGTAACATTGCGTACACATTATAAAGATAAGGGATGTCTGGTAGAACGCTTTGAAGTGATATATGAGAATAAGAGATGAACGGTGCCAAAAATAACGCAGATATAAGCAATAGTAAAACTCTAGGTTTGTATTTATTTATCTTGTTTTGTACTTTTAACAATAAATATAATTATTATTGAAATAATATATATATATATATATATATATATATATATATATATATATATATATATAAAAATATATATCAAATTTCCCGTTTAGTGCAATAATAAATTTATAAAATTCTTCGATATATCTTTGACTGAAATTGGATTTTTTTGACTTACATACAACGACAAATAAGTAAGATAATAAAATTATGATTTATTCTTAGGATACGTGGTGGAGCCACGCTACAGCTATATTATGGTTGTAGCACGAATGGGCCAGTTTACAGAAAAATAGCCCTTTAGGGATCGAGGCATATCATCTTAGTCCTCAGGGATGACAACGTATCTACATTCTGATTTTTGAACGAGGACAGATGTGTCTGTAGGCTTCGGCATCCACTTATAAACAAAAAACTTATCTTTGGCAGTAGGCAAGGTTGTTAAGCAGTAGTAACTTCATTAAGTGAATAGCAAACTAATAATTGTGGTAGCTCCGTGTTGCGGTGGCTTAGCATTGGGCTGCGCGCTGAGGGCCGCGGATTCGAATCCCGTATGAAACGAGTATTTGTATGCCGTACAAATAATTGTACGGAATCGGGATATTTGTCCTGGTGTAATTTGTGAAAGTAAACTGCCTTCATGACACAGGAGAAAATCTTGGTGTGGGGTAACGTTTTTTTATTTAAATAAGTTTAAAAAACACTTTTTAAAGTTGGCCTTCGAAATGCTTTTCACCCTATCGACAGAATTGCCGTACCGTTGAGGTAAAATGTATCGTTTGGCAATGTTTAAGTTCTGCTGGATCACTGTTTACAAATTAGATATATAGTAATAGATATCTGACTATTCAGAGTATTTAAAATAACGTTGCACATGTATTATGTATTTAACTTAACTAAAATACACTAAGTCAATAATAACAAAGTAACCTAGTATTTTTTTCCGTTTAAATAATCTTGTAATTAATTGTTATTTTTGTTATTATTGCTAGTTAGATAGAAAAGTTGAAAGATTTTGGAACCACGTAACTAAATAACAACTACATATCGATGATATCTTTATTAATCTTATGAAATCGATGAAAACATTGCGTGTAACTACTGCATTTAAAAAAATGAAGGTGACAAACGAGCATATGGTCCATCTGATGGTAAGTGTATGCTGTGGCCCATAGACATCTGCATATATCCTCAATTAAGATTCAAAATTCAGATGTGTTTTCAACGCTGAGGGCAAAGATGAAATGCCTCGTTCAAAGTAAAAATTGTATTCAATTCTCTACACTCATAATAAATATGAAACACAGCAGCATCTATTTCACGATGATTTTCAGTGTCGTGGCCCTTCCCCGTTCGAGTCGACCTTTTCGTGCTACAACAATAATAGCTGCAGCATGACATGGCATTACCACGTTCAAATTTTAGGTTTTTATAACAGTCTCCAAAACAATCCTAGTTTTCAAGGTAATCGCCCGATTTTGTAGCTTTCCGCAATTGTATTTTGTAAAGAAATGTCAGGAGATCTGAGATATTATTACATGATAAGGGTCCTTATTTAGAATACTACCAACGTAAACAAGTTTTGTGGCCCTTATCTCAAGAGTTTGGGTCAAGGTGTCATCAGTGGAAATTTTTGTGCATGATACCTATATTATCTATAAATAGTTGAACGGCCAGGTAACGTACCTACATTGCTGGACCTAGAAGAAGTAGATGAATGTTTTTTTTTTGTCTAGTTTTAATATTTATTCAACTTGTATTGCCATCTTGGATTTTGATAACGACTCAAAATAAAAGTTAAAAATTGCGTAGTTTTGTAAGAACTGTACTTAAAAAGTACAATAACAGATTGAAAATTGAAATACTATAAAACTTTTTTGTTCCCAATTTACAGTAGAAGCTCGATAAGATAAAGACCACGGGAAACGTTAAATAATTTCAGTTATTGAGGTTTTTACTAAGGGTTTAAGTTAAGTTTTTATTGGTTTATGTTTGTACTTACAGAGGTTCGTTTATAAATTTAGTTTAGGAATTATGTAGCTTATACATGAGCTATGTTAAATGAAAATGAAACTTTTAAATGTTAATGCATATGTACTTTATTTTAGGCTTAAAGATACATTTATTCAAGTTAATTTTATTCTACATAAAAAAGTCTTAAAAAAGTCTTGTTTCAAACTATTCACACTTTCTATATCAATTTTATTTTCAATAATAAATAAAGAAGAGAAAATATCATCCTCTGTGTTACTGCATTGCTCTATAAAAGATCGTAAAAATCTCTATAAAAAAGCTAATGATACAAATAAATTACTGTACTTAGACCTTAGTGTATTTTTTATATTTGCTAAACACGTGTAAGTAAGCAATAGTAATCTTCTACAGTAAACCTTTATTGTTTGCATATTCATTTAAAATGACTCATTGATAGATGATTGAAGTTGCAAAGTTTGTAAGTTAAAGAGGTTTTGGACTCCGAGTGGAAGGGAACACAAAATATGAATTTATACGTTAGCGTTGTCGAGGTTTGAGTTATCAAGGTTCTACTGTATATGTGAAAACGGATGTGCATTAACCCAGATCAAGTATTTTAAAAATTTAAGAAATTCATTATTAGCAGATATATTTTTCAAAATTATTTTTGTATCTGACTATAAAGTCACAGTGTGTATAATTTACCAAAAAAAGCAAAATTGCGAAAAATTACTGTTTTTACGAATTTTATTGAAAATACGTAGATTATATACTATACGCGCAAGAAGTCCTAAATATGTAGAATTACGTAAAATTGTCAGTGCTGTCTTCAGCATTTATTTTTTGTTCATAAATCTTTGTCCGTTACATGACGTTAAACTTCAACATAGAACGGTACAGAACAGAACAGAATTTTTTTCAATGTAGATTATAAATAATGCTCATTGAAAGTCACTCAAGTACATAACCTCTCACGCCTTTCACCAAGATGAGTAGGCAGAGACTACAGACTTCCATTTGACAATATTCTGGTACATCTATTTAGTTTTTTCACTTCCATATATACTCGTCGACTTAGAGTGCGCTTATTTTGGCCCTTCTTCAATATATCGCCAATTTAGTCGATAAACCTTCAATTGAAGAAGGTTTCCTTTGCTAACTCTGCCACTCACTTCTGCAGCATGAATTTGCTTTGTCTTTCTTTACTCGTAAATTAAACCAGTTTATAAACTTAAGTGCTACAGCTACATTATGGTTGTAGCACGAATGGGTTGGCGCGACTGGGGAAGTTCAACGTTGTCAACAGAATACCAGCGTAAAATGGCAGCTTAATGCTGCTGTGTTTTGTATGGAAATTGTAAAGAACCGGACACTTTTTGAATTTTTTTTAATTCTTAGGGGTGTCAACGCATCTGAATTGTGATTCTTAATTGAGGGTAGATGTAGATGTGTCTGGGCCAGGATATACTTACCATCAGGTGGACAGTGTGCTTGTTTATCACCTTTAGTCCACAAAAAAATATTAATGAATATGTTTAGTTTAGCCGTGCAGTGATGGCATAAGAGAATCTACTACCCGTTTGTGTCATAGGAGGCGATAGATGGAAACCGAAACAGGAAATATGCAGCACGATCTTCTAATAACAATTGCCCAACCTGCCTACCATACGTGAAAACTATGGTCGCCTGCCAACAAACGGGGAGAACCCCCATCATTCGCCCTATGCGGCAATCTATAAGGCAGGCCTTTGTTCAGCTGTAGACATTTGATGGACTGTAATGAAATGTTATTGTTCAAAGGCGAGTTATTGTTTTATAGTAAAATTTTTAAAGTTATATTTTATTGTTCAAATTTATTACGTAAAAATTTAATAATGACGTCAGATATTTATATTAAAACCATTTTTAATATAAATATCTGACTTTACATTACATTATTTCGGTGTTATCATCATATTATTGTTACAAAAGCTCTTTCCGTCATTAAAGTAACGGCTTTCTTTTTCATTTACTCACGTTATCATTCTATTGTTTGCCAGTAGTGATGAATTGGTCTCTGAGGTCTTATCTATCGCTCTTAACGATGCATTTGTTTTACATGTACCCACGATGCTAAAAGATTCATTAATAGTTAGTAAAAATTAGGTAGTTTTATATGTTGCGAGTAAATCTACCTATTATAATACACTATCGTAATTATTAGACATAGGAATGTGCTCCTACTATAAAAGGATAAAATTATTGGTTTGTGATGAATGTCACTTATTTATAGTACAGAAAAAAGTAATGAAGAAAATAAGTTTCTCAGACAGCTCTGGTAGAAGGGGATAAATGCTTGTCTCAAGTTTTGTAATAAGCGAGTAAACTAAATTCGATTCCCACCGCTAGCAATGAAATTATTGCAATTAAAATAATTTAAAAAATGTTCAGTTTTCTTCGGTAAACTTTTACGATGGTACGATGGATGAAAATAATCGTACGATGGAAATAAATAATTAAAAAAAAATTAAAACCCGACTGCAAAAAAGACAATTTAATAATTATGCACGAAAAAGACCGAAACAAGAATGAGAATAGATTTTTTTTAAATAAACCTTAAAGTAAACTCTACTTCGGTTTAACAGACTATATTATGAGCTGAAAGCCTAAGTTAAATACTCGCATTTAGTTTAGTAGCAAGCGGAACTCGTTAATTTTCTTTCAGTTTATAATTTGCAATTGGATCCCGCCTGCTACTAAACTTAATGCGGGTAATTTACATAGACTTTCAGCTCATAATATAGTATGTCATTGAATTATATATATATATATATATATACTACGTAAGAAGCTACTCTACGAGACAGTAGAGTTGAGGTAGAGTCGCTCATGCGCAGTAGATATAAAGTGCGCGTTACACCCGTGCGGACAGTTTTTGTTATCATAGATTATACGTAGATAGAATAATCAATGTATTTTATGTGTATACTAAAAAGAAAGAACTTCAATTAAATATTCAAAA